CCCCCATATCTCTCAATCTCTCTCGATCTCTGCCGCTGCTCTTGTACTGTGTTGACATGTAGCCATCGACTGCCAATACCTCCGGCCATACTTTCTTCTATCATCTCGATGACACCGGAAAGTTCCATTAACGATGCTGGAGCTTCCCTCTCTCTCACTGATCGTTAATGAAATATGATGTTTGGTTTCAGATTTTCTTTTTGCTTCAACGATCAAATCATCAAAGCAGAAGAGGATCACATTCTATCAAAGCAAGGCAGTCGGTTTGTTCTGTTTAGAGGTATTTGTAATTTTTTGGTGCGCTCTTGATTCCAGCTAATGAAATGGAGTTGTTATTAACAGTAGTAGTATACTAACTTATAGGCACAAGATTGGTAGATGCCAAATTCATCAGAGTGAACAAATATGTGCATAAGCTTTTTGAATTTGATAGTCAACCACCTAATTTTGGTTAAGTGGTTGGGATTACAATTTGACATGCAAATAAACTATGATAGTTGATTATTGAATGAATGGTTTTTTTCTAAAATTATCTATGAATCAATATGCATGTGAAGCATTTGATAAAATGAGCTCCCAATTTATTAATTTTTTATACTGTGTGTGGAGAGTGGTTGTATGTATCCACGAACCCATACAATTCCCTAATCCTCTCTCCATTTTTTAATGTGAATTCAGAGAAAGATTTTCCTTTTTGGGGGGAATGTATCAGGGCAATATTTGCATCAAAGCTCTCATACTCTATTTTTCTTAAAATTTGTAGCATTCTGAGATTCCAAGTGAAGCATATTAGAGAAAAGGTGGAGGAGGGTGTAATAGGAAGTGCTATTTTGCAGGAGTTCAGAATTATGCCTGCTTATCATGTGGAAAGAAGGTGTGTCTGGGTTAACTGTGCTTGTGCTCCTTCTGGAGTGCTTAACACAGATGGGGCTGACTCTTTAGTGCTGGTCAATTCTGTGAAGGGGAAGTGTGGATGTTCATGGGCTTCGATGAATCTTTTGAGACAGATTAAGGAGCTTTTGGGGATGGTTGAGTTTGAGTTGGGGCGTGTGTATAGAGAAGCCAATATGGTTGTTGATTGTTTGGTGAATCAGGCAGTCCATGATAGGTGCTCTGTTGCTGATGACTTTAAAGGGAAGGAGCTGCTTGCTGATTTAAGGATTAGCTCTGCATATGCTGTGGTGACTAAGGCTATGTGGGTCAAGTGGGAGCCGCCTCCTGCTGGGACTTTGAAGCTCAATGTGGATGGTGCTGCTAAAGGGTTCAACTGGACTGTCGGATGGGTTATGGTAATTAGGAATCCTGAAGGCCATGTGGTTGTGGCTGCAGCTTCATTTATAACATAGGTTCTAATATGCAAGCTGAATGTAAGGCATTATTAGATGGTATTAATTTGGCTTTGCAATACAGCTTGGGGGATTATCAGATTTTTATTGAATCTGATTTGCAGATCCTAGTACAAGTGGTTTTGGGTAAGGTAGTTGTGCCTTGGATATGCAAGTCTATTTTGGACCAGATTTGGGGTCTTTTTAATAGGCTTAATGTTAGAATTCGGTGGGGTTTGGTTATCATCCGTAATCCACACTGGTCTTCTCTCTCTCCACCCATCTGCGTCATCCAAGCGATTCAGCCCCCTGCTCAGACATAGGTTCTAGCCCATGTATCCAGGTAGTTATACTGCAGAAGTAACAAGCCTCTCTCCTAAAGCAACAGAGAAGGATGTTTATGACTTCTTCTCTTACTGTGGCGAGATTGAACATGTAGAAATCATCAGATCTGGTGAATATGCCTGTGCTGCCTACGTGACATTTAAACATGTTCATGCGCTGGAAACTGCCATCTTGCTTAGTGGGGCTACCATCGCAGATCAGAGCGTATGTATTTCACGCTGGGGAGCATATATAGATGAATGTGATCCTTGGAATGACCATTCATGGAAGGTGGGCAATGCGAGTAGCTCAACAATCTCTCACGCAAATCAGTTTATTTCCTCTCCTGGGGAAGCTGTAACCATGACAAAGCAAGTAGTGAAAACCATGATAACTAAGGGATATGTTTTAAGCAAAGATGCATTATCCAAAGCCAAAGCTTTCGACGAGTCGCATCAAGTCTCATCCACTGCAGTGGCCAAGGTGGCGGAGCTTAGCAAGAGAACTGAGCTAACTGATAAAATCAATGTGGGCATGGAGACTGTTAAATCTGTGGATGAGGAGTACCATGTCTCAGAGGTCACCATGTCAATTGCATCGTGTACAGGGAGAACGGCTGTGGCAACTACAAATGCTGTAGTCAACAGCAGTTACTTTGCAAAGGGAGCACTCTGGGTTTCAGATGTCCTCAATCGTGCAGCCACGGTTGCAGTTGATTTGGGTGGCCAAGGGGTTAAAAAGTGACACTCTTAGTGGAGACAGGTTGGTTTCATGACAAAGAATTACTACTACTTGTTTCGTTACAATCGTTTAGGCTTTTATAAGTTAAAAAAGACTTACCATTGTTTAGCAGATTAGTTTTTGTGTTTGATAATGGGTTTATAGGTTGTCCGAACTTTGCTTCGTCTTAGATGACCTTTGTGGATTCATTTGTTGTAGTAATAAAGGTAAACCTTTACTGCATTAATTGAAAAAAAAATGTCAGAATTCGGCATATCTACAGGGAGGCCAATGCTCTTGCAGATTTTTTAGTGTCTTATGCTGTCCAGGCAGAATGCTGTGCTGATTTCTCTGTCACTGGGTCGCTACCTGTGGCTGGGAAATTGGTGTTGCATCAAGATCAATGTTCGCTGCCTACTCTAAGGAGGAAGAAGCTTCTAGTTTTGGAGAAGGAAGGCTGACAATCTGGTAGTAATGTTGTTTGTAACATGGCATTTTGAAGGATTAAAGCCATGAGGTTAATGATGTAATTAGTTGGGTTTTAACGGATTCTTTGATTCTTGTAATCCTTGCTTTCTTAAATAAACTTCTTCTTTTCTTAAAAAAAATGATAGGTGCTCTGTTGATTTTTCTGAAAATCTGGTTTTGCCTTCTGCTGTGGGTATGGCTGTGTTGCATGATTCAAGGCCGTTGCCTGTTCTTCGATTGAAGAAGGTGTAGGTTTCTAATGATACAAGGGTAAGGTTGCCGTTTTCTACAAAGTAGGGGAGCAAGTTGTTGTTGTTGGTTCAATTTGCAGGCTACCTATTATGAGGGACTCATTTTTTGATTCTTTTGTAAAGTCTATTGGCTTCTTTTATTCATTTTGGGTTAAAATCTTGTTAAGGCAGGGTCTATCTACCTTTTATTCCGTTGTAAATAATTTTTGAGTAATAAAATAAAGTGTTGATTTGTTTAAAAAAAAATATTTGCATCAAAGAGTAGAAACGTACACATGGGTGATGAAGAAATCCATAGTAGTGAGCTACAAGCTTACACTTGGGTTCATTACCTTTTCATTTTTGTGAATTTATGTAAATATTTGTTAAATTATCACTAAAAATATATCTTGAGATAACTATTGACATTTTTAACAAAATACATGCAAAAACACACATCTATATCATAAAGTAAAATGAATTTGAATTTTATAGACAAAGAGTAATTTAGATCGTTTCGTGAGCAAAAAAAAATATCATCCAACGGACGGCGTTATCCCAAACTGTCTCAAGCTATTGATCTCTCAGATCGTTTTGATTTGACGTACCACATTAGCTCTTTTGAAATATTTTTGTTACTCAAAATTTTTAGTTTTCAAAATTGATATTTCAAAACTTAATTCCGCCAAATCTTTTCCTTAAATCAAACAAATATCTCTCTCTCATTCCTCTGTATATTTCTCATGCTCAATTTATGCAAAAAATATTA